ATCTGTATGCCTGTCCTTTTTTGTTTTTTGTCCCTTTCTTCGTGTACTGTGAAGCTAAAACAATAAAATGCTTAAAAAAAAGACTTGTGCCGCAAACCGAATTCGCTGAGATTGAAAGACGGAGACTCGGCTCAGGAGCATATCAAAGTAATGACAGAACTCTTTGACGTACTCTCAGTCACGGGAGAAACTATAGAGTAGTTTACCTCCTGGCCAGCCTGCCAGGGTCTTACAGTGTGCTGGTGACTGCACTAGAGGCAAATGGGGATGTGCCCAAGGTGGAGGTTGTTACTGAACGTATTCTGCACCAGGAGAGAAATTCAAATGAGAGAAGTGAGGCTAGTCCAGTCACTGAAAGTGCAATGACCTCACGTAAGACCTACAGATGCAAACCAATAAGGTGTCACCACTGTGGAGAACTGGGGCACATCAAGAGGTACTGCAAAGACCACAAAGCTCAGAAGGAGCCAAAGTCGAAAGTCGAGAAGGAGGGTCAGAAGGAGAGAAAAACGGAATGTTGGAACGAATCCAGCGACGTACTACAAAGTAATCTCAGAAGCTACAACAACCACACAGGAGAGCTCGGATATATAGCAAGAGCTCTAGACTCATTGCTAGTCACGCATTCTCCGTCTCAAGCTCGAACGAACAGTGTGCCTGGATCATCGACTCGGGAGCCACATGTCATATGTGCCAGGACAGCATGTTGTTCACCACTCTCTACCAATTACAAGATCCCATCGATGTGGTGTTGGGAGACGGACGAGCACTCACGGCGGTCGGAAGAGGTGAAGTGGTGTTAGACATGATCTTACCCAATGGTGAGTCGAGGCCGTGTATGCTGCGTGATGTCCTTTACGTACCCAAGTTCTCATATAATCCCCTCAGTGTAGTAAAGTCCTTGCAACCCGGAAGCTTACGTTTTGTAAATCCTGCCCTCAAGGCAAACCGCATCGTACCAAGCTTTCTTCAAGCAGTCTAAGGGCAGAGGAGCCTCTCGATCTCGTGCATAGCGATTTGTGTGGGAAAATTAACGAACAATCGTGGGTGGCGCTGAGTACTTTTTGTCGTTAATTGATGATAAGACTCGGTATGTATGGGTATATTTTCTGAAGTCAAAAGATCAAGCAGTTGATAAATTCCTGGAATGGAAGGCCATGGTCGAAAAATCTACCGGGAGATAGCTCAAGGTTATTCGCACAGATAATGGAGGAGAGTTCACCTCCAAGGAGTTTGAAGCACACCTGACAAGAGAAGGATTACGCCATGAACTCACAGTTCCTAAAACCCCAGAGCAGAATGGTGTGGCAGAATGAATGAATAGAACCCTCGTAGAGACTACCAGGTCAATGCTCATCCATGCAAATTTGCCACACAGATTTTGGGCTGAAGCCTTGTCCACTGCCACTTACCTGCGCAACAGACGATCTGAACGTGAGAGGAGACAGACTGACTTCTATGTAACATGTCTGATGTCAAGGAGCCAAAGTCTGTCTGACCACTCACGAATGGGATGATGCCATGAAAGCAGAAATCGACTCCCTCCATGATAATAGCGTCTGGGAATTTTTACAGTTACCAGAAGGTCAAAAGCCTGTAGGGAGCAAGTGGGGTTATAAAGTGAAGATGAAAGCTGATGGCTCTATCGAGAGATGTAAAGCCCGTCTCGTTGCCCAGGGGTGTTGTGTTCTCAAAAAGAAGGACTCGATTATGATGAAACCTTCAGTCCAGTTGTACGATCAGAATCTGTTCGCTTTGTGATTGCCCTCGCGTCAAAGAATGGTTTAAAATTGCACCAGATGGACATCACCACTGTTTTTCTCAATGGAAATTTAGAGGAGGAAGCTTACATGAAGCAACCCGAGGGTTTTCTAGCGGAGGGTCAGGAGCATTTAGTTTGTCGACTCAAAAAGAGTATATATGGCCTTAAACAGTCGCCCAGATGCTGGAATCAAGCAATAGATGCACAATTAAAGCTGATGGGTTTTAAACAGAGTACAAGTGATCCCTGTATCTGCACCTCCACAACAGAATCAGATGGTCTGTTCATTTTGGCCGTGTATGTAGATGACATTCTGTTAGCAGGGAAGTCTCAGCACAAAATTGCACAAGTTAAGGCCGATCTCGGAAAGCGATTTCAACTCAAGGATATGGGTGAGCTCCACTATTTCCTTGGAGTAAGTGTACAGCAGCGTGCGGAAGGGATATGGATTGGAGAACTAGCATATACCCTGTGCTGTGGAGCACTGCAAAACCAGCTAACACTCCAGTAACTTCTGGAACGAAACTGCTAAAAGCTACTGAACAGTCTGAAGTAGTTGATGCTACACTATACCAGTCTGCAGTTGGTAGTCTATTCCACCTATGGATGGACTAGACCAGATATTGCATTTGCAGTTAGCAATGTTAGCAGATTTTGTTCCAGTCCTACTAAGGAACACTGGGCTGCAGTCAAAAGTATCCTCAGGTACCTGAAGGGAACATCTAACTATGGTCCCTCATACTCAAGGAAATGGTACATTGATTGGTGCGATTGGGCTGGTGACGTGAATGACCGTAAATCCACCTCTGGTTATCTTTTCATGATGAGTGGTGCAGCAGTAAGCTGGAAGAATCGTAAACAAACGTGTGTTGCTCTCTCTATGGCAGAAGCCGAATATGTTGCGCTGGCTGGTGCCATCCAAGAAGCTACCTGGATGAGACAACTATTGGAAGATCTTCACAATGGTCAATTTGAGCCAACTGTCATTCTTGATGACAACCAGTCAACTATTTGCATTGCCCAAATCCTCAATATCACAGCAAGACCAAACACATCAATATTAAGTATCATTATGTTCGAGATAAAGTTCTGGACAGCACTACCGAGCTAAAATACTGTCCAACAAGTGAGATGATTGCTGACATCCTGATGAAAGGACTAACTACAACCAATTTTTACGCTTCGTGAGATGGAGTAAAAGAACAGTCAGACTTCAAATGAGAAGGAATGTTGGGAACAATCCACTCTTGTCAGACAATATAATAATTATACTGTTATCAAACTTAGTTCCTGATATGTATTGTTACGGAATGTATAAACCTAGACTGTTCTAGAATATTTCTGCATGCTCTAGAACTTTCTTTTGTAACTAGCTATAGCCAGCCACATGTTTGTACAAGTGCGGTGCAGTCAGTGATAAAGTGAGTCAGCTACAAGCGCAGATCTTTGCAACAATTTTTGGAAGCTATGCCATTAGCTACTAATACAGTGGAAAAACATTTTTCAAAACTACGTAACCTCTCATAACGGGCCGTCCGAGAAGCGGACAAAACGCTAAGAACGGATTGAACTACCGTAGAGCTAATACCTCCGAGAAGCGGACGCCTTTTGCCTCCGAGATCCGGACAACGGACACCAACCGCGCCACGGACTGACTCAGCCCATACATTTTCCCCACCGAGAGCGCACAGAGAAGCCACTCCCACTGCACTCGCACTGCAGTTGAAGAGCGAGCCACACGCTCTATTATGTTGCGAAGGACATAGGCAGCGAAGGTATATCACTAAGTACGGTAGTACTTAGTATATAGGGATTGACATGGTACCTAGCATCATAGATGTATGGGGCTATGATAGGGAGTTTTGTTCATCTTCTTCTTCTTCTTCTTCTTCTTCTTCAACCAGCGTAACTCAAAAACCGAAAGAGATAAAGCCATGAAATTTTGTAGGAATGTACACATCGATAACCACATGTGCAACGTCATACTTTTTTGTTTGTAATACGCTATAGTGTTTGCCCAGCGAGCACAGCGCGCGAAGCGCCAGCGGGAAACCGCACCCACCGCCACAATCTACGCGTTTTTTCATGTGCACACCTTGCACAGTGTTGCTCTAGCTAGCCCAATCTTCATCGTAATTGTGTTAAATCACCCCAAGAGGGGTTTATATAGGTGAAATAAGATAAAATCTCCGAGATGGGACGACCCTCTCTACAAAGGACCCCCAAAGTTGTCCCTATATATCTCGGAGGTTCCACTGACAATAGCTACACAACATTAAAGCAAACTCGCAAAATAGTATACTACACACTGTTAGGAATGATCTGTGACCTTTGTACCAATCATGTCAGAAGGCAGTTCAGTCTCTTGTTGAGTGTGGCCATTTCGTCCTGTACGTGACTGGAATGGTGGCTGTGTGGAACTGGTCTCGGTGCGGAAGTTTGCTGTGTGGCAGTGGTTCCTCGGTGCTGGGAGTTTGCATGTGTGGCTCACTAGGCCCTTGGTGTCTGTTGGTATCAGTATGGAGTTTTCAAACGCGAACAGACTCAAGTAAATCAGGCTTCTTTTGTCCCCTGCTTTCAACATCCATTTGAAGCAGCAGCAGAACTAAGTCGTCCCATCCCCCTTCTTTTTCTTTCTCCATGCATGACAAGACGAGTCTCTTCACCCTTATCATCACCAGCTGAGCTGTGGCTACTTCCCTGCCTCTCTCCCCCTTGCTCGACCTGCAAAGGTTGACTCTGCACCACCTGTGGCCATGAAGGGCCTCTTTTGGCGACCCCATTGTTTATCTGAATGTCAGGATCAGGGACTCTGCGTGCCAGCTTTCGAACCTGGAGAAAATAAAAAGCACTAAAGTGCAAACCTCGGCCACTCTGTGAATGCGGTATATACCGCTAATTGACGGATGGTCTATTAGTAGCGTTGTATTCATGGTTTCGCTAGTAGCTTGCGTGCGGTTCTGACTAACGGGTAGTAGATAGCATGCGGGAGTCGATCATATAGACGCCTTTGTTGTGCCTTCTTGTGCCTCAAGGTATGCAGAGCAAGGGGATCAGGTCAAGGTTAGCAAAGTGGTGATTATGTTATTTCGAAAGCATATCTCTCGAACACAGTCGTTTCAGCAAAATCGCAGGCTTGCATAGTTCTGAAGCCATTGTATACGACTCATAGGGCTACCTTTAGTGCCAGCATGAGTGTGACAGACAAGCAGACCACAAACAGACAGCACGAAGACAGACAGACAGCGACAGAGACAGAGACAGTGGTGCGCATGTACGCCGAGGTCCTATTGTTCCCTGAAATCAGGATCGTGGTTATTACGAACTGCAAATGCACATTAGATACAGTCATAAATGCACATAACACGCATTAACGACTTGAGTTTAAGCGGTCGGTGTCAGGTTGAGACTCCTATAGGTCACGTCTTCCCTAAGGTGCTCCCAGCCATCCCTATTGCAGATCCCACTAGATTTGAAGATATACTGGTACATTACATACGTCGGTGCCTGAAACCAAAGACTTTAAACATTCCAGTTTGAGTTAATCAGCGTAGTGGCAGCGCCACAATACTCACTAGCTCGACTACCTCGACTAGATGTTAGACTAGTTCTTTAATGACGAGGATGCTACAATGTCCTGCACCATTCGTCAAACCTAAGTACAAGGGCAACTCTTAGTGTCCTAATGAGAGTTTTGTTATATAGGGCCATGCCAATTTTTGTATGACTACTGAGAGACTTACATGTAGGGTCATAATCAAGAGACAAAACTGCTCCTGGTTCACTTTCACCCAGAAATCTCAACATGGGTTGTCTGTAATAGTTAGCAAAACAGATCAGTTGATTATAAAACGCACGGGTCTGTCCATAAACATGTTCACTGCAGGTGACAAAGAATAAATAATATTATTTCAGGCCCTTTAGTATTGGTATTGGTGAGCGAAACTAGTGTATACGAGTGACAATACAAGGATATTCTCAAGGTAACGCACTCACGCAGTATGTATGAACATTAGACTCCAACTAAGAATGTGTTAACAACACTGAACATTAGATACCAACTCCAAACTTAACAACTGGTCAATTAACATACCCAACTCCAAGTTGTGTTAACATTAGATACCAGAATGATGTTACATTAGAACTCCAAACTAAGAATGTGTTAACAACTGAACATAGATACCCAACTCTGAATGTGTTAACAACTGAACAGTACCAAACTAAGAAGTGTTAACAACGCTGAACATCAGATACAACTCCAAAATTAACAAACTGAGCATTAGATACCCACACTGAATGTGTAATGAAAAGCACTGAAGTCGCAAACCTCGAGCACGCACTGTAGTCAGCGTGACGCGATGTGTAAGTAAACGCAGGCGGCCATGCCACTATTGATGGGCTGGTCGTGTAGCTGTTACACTCGTGGTCTCTTGCCAGCTCGCGCAGAGTACTGACGCAGCATAACTACACTACGAGATAGCTATGCGAGAGGCGATACACGCCCATGCGTGCATCTTATTTCTGGTGCCTCCAGGTACGCAGAGCACGCAGGATAGCGATCATGCCATAGTAAGCCGTCCGACGTCGTTGTGTATTTGCCATATTGCGGCTTTCGCGCACTAGCTTAGAGGGAACTATGCAGCGGAACGTTTTCAGAGAAAGAAAACCCGTATCGAAGTAAGTAAAGTTCCTGACCCAACATTGCCCGTTCACCGGTCAGGTAAGGTGGTATCCTTTGTTAGCCGAACAAACAGCCGAGAGAAGTGAGATTGAGAGTAACAGATACACACAACAGACAGACAGACAGACAGACCAACTACCGTACCCTCGCTGACGCAATGGTCCGAGGGTAACAACCCAACATAGATACTCAACTCAAACTAAGAATGGGTTGACAATGTGTACAGCTAAAAAGAAGCACAATCTTAGCAAAAGTGTATCCCATGTCTTTGATAGCAAAGATTAGCTTTGGGGAGGGGGGCTATGTATTGAAAAAATCAGGGGAAGCCCAAACCCCCGCAGCTTGCTCCACATCTCTAGTAGAGAACCTCAGTACCCATAGCCATAGCAAGGGTCTGCCTAACCTCATACATGTGTGTACCTGTGTCTCGTTGCAGATCTGAGCAAGTAGGTCCGAATGACTATGTAGTCAGTACGACAAACACGCGAGGGTTACTCGGAGGGCTTGTTCATGTTTCTCGTCTAGTTTAATCCTTTTCAGATCTCTCGCTTTCTAATCTCTAGTTCTGCGGGCGTAGTGTGGTAGCAACAAACGAAGGGTGTGCGTGCCGGCGGAGTCTGGTTGGTAGGTTTTTCTTTGTCTCAGCTATCTCCTCACAAGTCAAAGAACTAACGATTAAGATGAGACAATCAGCACAATAGTTGGTCCATAACACATACACTCTATCGGAAGCACTTGCATGATCAATGATCTTTGATTCCTATGAGGAAAAACAGCACCTAGATGAACCCACAGATTTATACTTTAACAGGAGACTCACGACCACAATAACACTTGTGGAGGGGAATTCCCTATAGCCCGCATAAGAGGACAGATAAGAGACGGTACGACCCTATGTCACACAGTTGACTCTTTTGTGCATAGATGAGCACAGGACAAATAGCTTTAGAACAGTTTGCGCGGTAATTTTGTACTTGAAAAATAGCACATAAGTGAGTGCACAAGTAGTGTGTGTCACCAACCTCATTCCCCACTGGCATAATTCATGATTCCCTACATACACAGCCCAATAGTTATCATAAAATGCAGGGGTATACTAAAGTCAGTGCAAGAAAAATGAAAGCACTAAAGTGCAAACCCTCGGCGAACTGCGCATGTGTGGTAGCACTAATTAATGGGATGGCTTTGTATGTCTTTACTTGTGGTATCCCGCTAGTAGCTCGCGGAGAGTCTGACACGGGATAGGATAGTAGTAGATAGCATGCGGGAGTCGATACATGCCCTTCGTTGTGCTTCCTGTGCTCAGAAGATACACAGAGCGAGCGCGGACGTGGTCGATGTAAGCCTGCGCTAATTTGCATATTGGCTTGTTCACTTGTTTTCACGCCATAACATTTGAACGCAGCAGTTACTACGAAAATCACCTTTTAAAATGAAGCCAGTGTAGCGACGAACCGTGGTATCGCTATTGTTATCTCGTTGCGCGTTAGTCGCAGAAACGTGGTAACAGACAGACGGACAGAAGGACAGACCAGTTACGAACCAATACTATAACCCTCTAGCGCATGCGCGCCGAGGGTAAAATGGCATGTGAAACGCATGTTGTACAGCACAATGTACTGTAACATAATGAAAGCACTAAAGCGCAAACCCTCAGCGAACGCTAAATGATGGGTTGGGCTATAATAGCATGCATTTACTCGTGGTCTTCCCGCTAGTAGCTCACAGAGAGTCTAAACACAGGCTAGCTACAGTAGTAGATAGCATGCGGGACGTACTTTGATGCGACTTCTTGTGCTTCAACGTCCACAGACAAGCGACCCAGTCGAGGTACAGCCTCTGCTAATGATATGCTTGTTCACTTGCTTTCACACCTATAACATCTGAAAGCAGCACTTTTACCAAAATTGCCATTTTCAAATGAAGCCAGTGTAGCATTGAACCCGTTGGATGTCACTATTTTCCCTGTTGTTGCACGTGGTGGCAGAAACGTGGTAACGTACCGACAGACCAAGTACTGTAACCTTCGCTGCGCATGCGCGCCGAGGGTTAATGAATTGAAAGAAGAGTCGCCTTTTACAGACACAAATAGCA